ATGGGACGATACGAGGGGATTAGATTTGCAGATCCTAATAATCTGAAAAGACACCAGGACACGGTGTTAATTCCAATAGAAGAATATATTTATCTCCCCTTCTGGAATTCCACTGGGTACAGGGATATATAGAGATTTAAACTGGTTGACAACTTTTTGTCCATGAGTTTTCTACCTATTGAGTTTGTATGTTTGTCTTGGTCCTGTTCTCTAGCCTACCAAAAACAAAGTGGCTTTGACCGAAATTTTTTAAAAAGGACAAAAGCAACTCATTTTCTTCACCTTAGTGAGAGGCAAAAAGAAAATTCCAACTAGGTATGGCACAGTATTTACTGATCCAGGAAAAAGTCAATATGTCTAAAACTAGGACTAATATCTTATATTTACATATTCAAACTGTGATTACACAGATCAATATATTAATTTAGGGTTGTCCAAATATAAAGTAAAACTACAATGGACATATGTAATTATAATACTGACTGTCAGAATGTCTGTATGTATTGGTTTGGTATTTTCTAGAAGAGGAAGTTCTACCTGTCCATTCATCTTTCAATATTACATAAACAAGTAAAAACATCTGATTATACAAAAATGGTGATAATGCAGAGCTGTAGGCTTGAAGCATTAAGCATCCAGAAGCATGCGGTTTCAGAGTACCCCATTAAGATCCACTTGGCTTTCTGAGCTTGTTCCTCGTTTACAAATGGATGTATGCAAAGTCTGAAGAGATTCATTCTATGCTTGCCGAATGAACTTGCAGGACACTTATGCAATTGTTTTTCCCTTTCCTGGTTTAAAGTGGATTTAGGTTGGTATTCATCAGCTCCCTATTTTAAACTAGTTTTTTCTGTGAAATTGCCAGTGATGATTCTAAGCCCATTCCACTCTACCCCAACCCCCTAGGAGGTTTTTTTTTTTTTTTACAAAAATAAAGACATTTCAATCAACTCTAGAGCTGTTGGTAATTCCTAGCTTTATCGTCAGCAGATCTGAAAGGCTCTCTCTACCCGGTCATAGCTGACAAGTGGCACAGCCAAGCGTCAGCTGGCTCGGGCAGGAGTGGATGATTTGGACCGCTCTGGGATACTCTTCCCCCATTGCCCAGGTTTCAAGACCCTGGGCTCCAGCCTAAGTATCTACACGGCAATTTTGCAGCCCCAGCGAACACAGACCCATTCGGGATCGTCTGCTGCAGTGTAGACCGAGCCAGGCGCTCTGCAAGGCTCAGGCTCCCCCACCCCAGCGAGGGGAACACAAAGCCCAACGCGGGACAGTGACAGCAGCGGTCCCCTATTAGGCCAGTGGCAGAGCCCGGTCTCCGGCGCGCCAGCCCTGCCCCCACTAGGGCGGGGGGTCCCTAGCGAACACAGACCCATTCGGGATCGTCTGCTGCAGTGTAGACCGAGCCAGGCGCTCTGCAAGGCTCAGGCTCCCCCACCCCAGCGAGGGGAACACAAAGCCCAACGCGGGACAGTGACAGCAGCGGTCCCCTATTAGGCCAGTGGCAGAGCCCGGTCTCCGGCGCGCCAGCCCTGCCCCCACTAGGGCGGGGGGTCCCTATC